AATGAAGCAAAGCTGTCATTTACCCCCAGAGAAATACAAAAATACTTCAAATGCATTAAATGGAGCAGAGAGATGATAACAATTTAATTTAAAACAGTGACATTGTTAACAGTTTGTTTGTCAGATGTGGAGGCTTCAAGCAAATGATGGCAGTGATACACTTAACTCTTTTTATGTGTACATGCCATCTGAGTGTGCTGAGGTGTGAGGTATTATAGACAGCAGACAGCTAATTATGGCTCTGTCAGGGTGCTGATGGGGAGGTCAAAGGGCCAATTCTGATTGACAGTAGAAGAAGCTCATTGTGTCTGATATATAGACTATACATAGAGTCCCTGTTGTAGTTTCCTGGTCTCTATTTAAAGGAACAGTATGTATTATCTGTCATGTTGTTTCAAACCTGTATCACTCACTTTCATCAGCAGACCACAAAAACATAAATATATATTTTTTGTAGAATATCTCAATAATTTGTGTCCATCTCTGTTGTCCAAAAAAAATATGTTTATTGGTTAAGAGTAAGTTCCTTTATTATATAGGGTGAAAAACTGGACATTTCCTGCAATTTTACAGTATAATACTGCTAAATGTATAGTTTTGGGAAATGAAAAAGAAGACATCTTATAATGTACAGTAAAAAAACATAAACTGACTTTCCGGAATCCCCTGTGTTACACAAAAGCAGGTTTTCTTTTTAATATATATATATATATATATATATATATATATATATATATATATTGTTGTTAAATTATGTTTATCACATAATTTTAGTGTCATAATGTTTTGTATTTGTATGCTCTTAGTATATTATAGTGTATTCAAAACCTCCTGGGAAGTTCGTATTTACGAGTTGCGAAGTCATATAATTATGACATTGTGTTTATTCAAATCACTTGGAAGCAAGATGACAGTGTATATTCTGCAGAATTTTTTAAACTCTACAACTACATCATGATGAAAACAGAATGTGCATCAGGTGTGCACCATATTTACCTCAGCTTGTGCATACTTATGATGAACTTGGATTTATCATGTGGATTTCTCATTATGGTTTTATGGTGGTAGCATATTATAAGGGTACAAAACAGATTTTAGTACTTTAGAATATTTACATTATATCAGTTAACGATATTTGCATAACATATACATCATATATCATCAGTTAATGATATATGATTTTTTTTTACTGTAAATGTAGGTTAATTCTATAAAACCTATAATGTTATTACTATATTTTACGGTAAAGTTCTGGCAATCACAACTGGCGAGGAACGACGTGAGAAAATATTGACAAAACGTCCTTTTTTGGGTGAATTATCCCTTTAACATTTGTAGCTACAGCTTAAGATTCAAAAAGAAACTGTGTAATAAAGTGATATTAATGGCTCCAGCTGCTGTCTTATAATGTTTAAATACTGTTGAAAGCCGGTAGAGGGATTTGACAAGATCCCACACAATACATAAAGCAATAACAAGCTGTAAAAGCAAGACCTGCTGTTGCACTTGTCATACCTATTCATTTAAAGCATCAGTGGTGAATGAAATTAGCTTTCAAACTTTGGTCTGGTAGGCAGACAGTATTCATTACAGTGATAGATAGTCCAAGCATCTCTCTTCCTCTTTTTCGCTTAGTTACGTAAATTTCGACTCTGGGACTATTCGTATCAGGTTGATGCTTTCTCTGTTTGTTTTTACGATCAATAATCGAGCAGGATCATCAGTCTTATGTTACAGTACTACATGACTGGAAACAGGACAAAAGATCACTCAAATGTAACATGCACAAGCAACAATCGTTTATGATTCAGTATTGCAATTATAGACCATAATAAATCATGCCCTCCTTTTTAATGAGTACAGGACGTCTAAGAAATCCCTCCAGTGTACTGAGTTACAACACGACTGACAATTACTGCAGTCTCCTAATCAGTTTATCCATTTCCAGAGAGCTATTGTTTTAAAATGATCTTCAGTGACATATTGGTGACATTTACGAGAGATTTGGTGCATGGCTGAGAGGGGTTTTTGTTCCTGAAGCAACAGAATGCATTTTTTGGAAACATTTTCTATGAATAGTGTGTTTAATAGCTTTATATTACATCAATCTACATTATACTACTCAGATAAAGGGAGCAACTGTTCATCAAAATAATATGAACAGTTTTTATATGAACCCCCCACCCCCAACAAAACAAGGT